ATCTTGTTTTTTGGGAGAAATGACCATATCTGCCTCAGAATGTGGTGACGCCTTGCAGACAGGCTGTCACTCAAGCGGCCCCGCCCTTAAATATGCGCAACTTTAAGTCTTAATAAAATGTAAACAGTTGAGTTTTATAAAAATTCACTCGTACATTTGTCATGAATGTTGAAATTAGCTATAGAGACCGAAACCCTTTTTTTCGTGGCTGGCTGTAAAGCTGAGCATTTTAACATGGGGGTCTTTGGGAAGTGACTGTTTTGTAGCCAGCCTCAAGTGGCCATTCGATGAACTGCAGTTTTTGGCACTTCCACATTAGCTTCATGGCTAGCATTTGAGGTTGCCATTTGATGGCATCTAGCAATGAGGTTGCAGAACTGAAACTTCTCCTATGTGTGAAGCGTGTAGAGAAATGTGGAGAACTATGGTAACCGACTCAAAAAATGGCCCTATCTAGAACTCGTATTTGGTTTGTCCATCCTGGGCTACTGTAGAACAAACATGACGGACTCCATGGAAGAGGACCCGCTCTGTATGTAGATAGAAACGGTCCATTGTAAGGTAACAAAAGCTCAACAATTCTTCTACTTAGGTGATTATAAACTAATTAAAACATAGTTATGAATATTATACCATTTCTAACAATAGATGCCCCTAAATCCTACACACTGGACCTTTAGGGTGATGGATAAATGGTTGAAATGTCCAGCTTCTGCCACCCCAGCTCTGATAGGGCTATAGGGGTATATTGGCTGACACTGATCTCATGTCTCCCCAGCTTCTACTTATGTACCCATGTTCTAGAAAATCTGCGACTCTGCAGCTCTTCAGGTATAAAACAATTTCTGCTCCCGAGAATGTTTCTACATCTCAGCTTTCAATCTGTGTTTTCATTAGCATGTGGATAAAACCAGCAGGTAACAACAACAACAACAACAACCAAAATCTCCTATGCAGATCGTGTTATAGGAACACTGTGGAAGTGTGTGTTTAACCTCAGAGCTCTCCCCCGATGTCAGCAGGACTGATTGGCTGAATGAGAGGGCTCTGATTGGGGACGACTTTCACTAACTACCTGCTAATTTAAAGTCTTGATTGGTCGGGGTGTGAATTCAGAGTGAAGGGCAAACCAACCTGTGCGATGGCACGGCGAACTTAGAATGTCTTCACACACGCACGTAAGCACGTGTGTTCGAGCAGCCGGATGCTGATTCGATGTGTTCCATTATCTTTTTGTCTTTGATAAATAGGGATTAGATTTAGCATGAAGCTGCGTCTGAATGGAGAAACAGCAGCATTGCTAAGACGGCTAGAAAACAGAGGATTACAAGAGTCTTTTTGCTCCCTAATTTGACTTTAAAAGAGTCTTACCTTTGTTCTATGTGCCCAGTTAGGATGTGCTGGGAGGTTGAGATTAGCACGGAGAATCGAGTTTGTGACAAAGCCGATTAGCAGTTGAAACAGGGCCAACAATGGTTTTCCTGTTAGACAATCTGCATTTTAGAGTAACATCTCTCCTGTCAAGCAAGGAAATGTTTCTATTTCCTGTTCCAGTTTTATGCCAAAATGTCTGAATTATAGAGTGTCGTATTGACTATAATGCGCTGCAGCTGGAACATGTATTTACTGTTTGCACATTTCACTAAAAAATCATGAGGACATTTTAGTTTCTTCTGGAGGAAGCCTCTTCAGCTTCAGCTTTACTGTGGTTGTCTACTGCCATCTGCTGCATGGTCGCAGTCCTACATGTCACATAATGCCTTATTCCATACCTCACACTGCAGGTGTGTTTGTAAGGGTTCATTATTTTCATTTAGGTGCCTTGAACTGAAGAATTATCTCAGAACCAAACCATATACACAGAGCCAGTTAAATCAGAGGATGTGAAACGGGCAAAAGAAATATTGTAGATTGTTCCACAACGGTTGTTTTGTAATAGGAAAATCTTTATCTCCAATAACAGATATTTTAATTATACCAGTACTTTAAATTTAAATTTGTAATATCTTATATTTTAAGTTCCAGCTGGTAGTATTCTTTTTTCTGAGTGCTTTACGGCTTAAAAACTGAGGTGGAATTAACTGTTTTTGAACCTTATTGCATTTGTAATTAAACTATTAAGTGGTTCCATTATTGTTTCATCTAATTTAACCACAGCATTCATTTAGTAGATATCATATTTTAAGCATTCAGCTCTCATACACAAGCTTCACACAAATTGACAGTCAAAAAAATGGTAGGTCAAATGTCAGCAGTTTGGTAATTTTAATGTAATCGGTCACACTTTATAATAGTCACCATTAATAAATGGTTAATTAATAGTTATTCAATTTGCTTAAATGTTTTTGTTTGTTTTTAACTATTTTGTTTTTTTAATACTATCATATATTATATAATTTATTTTAAAATAAAGTTGTCATTGCTGAGTCGTTGTGTTAACTCTTTTGTAATCCCATCATTCTCGTCTCCCACCGTGTTTATCTGTGGTGCAGACCACAACCGTTAACAATTACAATTTCAGTGTTTGTTTACAGTCAAATAACCAATAACTTAAGATTAATTATCATATATTAAGTGTTACCTCTTGTTGATCTTTTAAAGGCTCATTGTTGTTATCTCACCATGCAGACTGCTGGTTCTTCATCACGTCAGGACTCTCTCTCCACCCTATACTCCATATGTACAGGGACTGACCCCTGCAGGTCACCAGATTTCTGAAATGAAACCAAAGACATTTCGAGTTCAGCGGTCAATATATCGTTGACCTTTTCAGTGTTATCATCTGTGAAATACAAAAAGGAGGACATGTATTTTGACCATGGTAACTGTTGTACTGTTTTAAACCATGGTGCAGGCTGGCTGATAAAACTGGGCACTGACTAGTTGACTTTGTAAACTGTGTCAGAAAAATCATAGTTTACAGGACCATGGTGGGTGAGTTAAGCTAAGGAACACACAAGTAAGAAAACCACCACAACACAATGGTTCAATACAGTGTATTTAGATATCTATACATACAAGACCAGCTATCTAAGCTGGCTCTATTGAACTTGTTTCATGGTACAACCCTGGTGCAAATTTGTCTCGTCGGTCACCCAAATCATAATCAGAGTACAGTCCTGTGTGTCCCTGCCTTTTAAAGTCACAACAGTGTGGCTTTCAGACTCAGTTTCTCCTCCGAGGTATTCACGGTGTTGTGTTTGGTTGTTCACACAAGAAGTGACAGAGGTAGTTGTGTAAGAAAGCAGCTTTAACGTACCTGCGTTCATTCCTGTGGAGCAGTGACTGTACTGTATAAATGTTGATGATGATGACTGTGGATTCACAGCTGAACTTCAGACCTGGACTACATCTAAATTATTGATTCATAATGATAACATAAAATAACAATTATTCACCAGTCATTGTACAACCACAGTGAAATACAGTCCCATCAGCTCTTCAACTTGTGTGCTGCAATTTAGTCCCTATTTTAAGTGAACAGTAGAGGGCACACTTCACTCAACTAGACCAAACAATGATTCTGATTCTCAACTCCCTGCTTATTAAGATGCCATTTAAAGGTTAGCAGACCTACCTGCATAACCTGTAACAGTAACCTGCAGTATTTACCAGTCACATATTGTGAGGAGGTTCCCTTTGGTTCTTTTGATATCTGTATTTATTTCAGACACAAGATCTCCATGTTGAAACATACTAAACATGCAGCCATATTTAGGTTAGACTGTGTGGAAGGCAAAATGGGCTGGGTTTATAATGTGAACATTCTCAGAAGTCAGGGAATAAGATGTGATGTTAGAGAATAAGAGGGTATCAGGGAACTTATATTATAAGAATTTAAACTTTTTTTTTTTTTTTTTAAATAGGTACTTAATCTTCAGTGCCCCTTAGTGTGTTAAAAATACCTATAGTACCAGTTCCCTTTGTTGTTTTATTGCCTCACTTCAGATCTTGCTCCCTTGTACCCATCAGTGTAGTTCTGTCCTGCTACACCATTAGCACAAAAAATGACACTGGGAAGAATTACAATGCACATTGTGCATCCTACTCAAAAGCTCCAAAGGTTTTTTTTTTTTTTTTAAATTGGTTACCATCCCCAGAGTGAAGTGTCCCTTTAACAGATAAAAATGAATAATGTTGGTAAAGGTATCCTACGAAAACAATGCATAGACTCCTCTCAATCATCACTTATGACCCACCACAGGTGTGTGGTGGTGTATTTATCTTCAAAGACCTCGTCCTGTGCCTGTGTTTTTTTAGTTTCTTCTTATTTTGCTGTGTTTGGGATCTTTTTCGGACACAGCACGTCAGCTCGTTCTCATTCCCAAGTCATCTAGAAAGCAACGCTTTGTCACGCCCCCCCAGCATGTGATACTGACACCAAACGCACCCTTTGGCATCTCTATGAAATGCTCTGTGCTTTCAGCTAATTCCGATGTAAACCCCTCCACAGCAATCCAAGTAGTATAAAGAGCAAGAAAGTCTGTAAAGGGTCAAACAAACACGCTTTCAGCCAAGAGATCACAGTTTGAATCCCATGTGAAACCAAAAGTAAAGACAGCAGTGCCTCATATAGACCCATAAGGGTGACTTTGGTAGCGGTATCACACACAACGGGCACAACAAAGCCATGGTGTTTGACAACCTGGGAGTGTCAGTGTTTAACTAGCCGCAATTAGACTGTGTTGAGTAGGTGAGGTGAGTAGGGAGCAGGTGACTGACCGTAAACTACACACATCCAAGAGGAAGCTACGATAACTGCAGATAATAGTAAGGCAAAACCAATCTGGGGTTGGCTTTCACTTTCACTGGTGAAACCGGTGCAACCAACATTTTCTGCATAGCACGCCTTAAAGCTCACGAGTGTGTTTGTATAAAGATGGTAAAAGATAAGTGTGTGTGTGTCTGGAACAGTAGCTGTCAACATGTACAAAGACCTTGTAGGTATTTCTGTGGTGACGCTCAGATTCTCCCCTCACTGAAACACACATACTAAAAAGTGGACAAAACAACCAATAGTCTTTTTATTGCCATTGTGCATGAACTTTGACACTGCAGGTTACACAAGGAGTATCATGTAGTGAGTTGATGAACACTCTGACCTGCCAGTGATGTGCTCTGGTCACTCTCAGTGCTGGTTTTGTATCAGTTGATGGCTTTAGCAACAAACTACTTGCTGATCCAGCCCCCATGCTCAAAACCAAAGGAATGCAAGATGAGACGCTTGTGTCAAAGAACGGACAACATCCGGGAGGACAACACGTTTTTTTGATTTTTTTTTTTCCTATTATTGCACACATCTAGTTTACCAATGCCGAGTATATGTGGGACATTGGGAAAGCCATAGCTCTTGGTAAGGTGCTGAAATGTTTTAAGAAACCACAACATTGCATTGAGCCTCTTTAAAAGCCACATATATACAAAATATGAATGGAGCGTCAATGCAGGGATTCCACAAGCACACCAGATATCAAAATAAACGTGGGTTATGCTTCACTCTTGCAAATGAAAGTGGTGTATCATTTACACTTGGGCATGGCGATGCTCATTTAACAGCCTAGAGGATACATGAGATGTTCAGGTTTTGTTGCTTGGTGGTAGCATCAGGGTGCCTACAACACTCAGTAATAACAGACAGACAGTGAGAGGGAGGCAGGCCAGTGTGATCCTTTTATCTGTGCATCAAACACATGAAGGCGCGACTGTATCTGCAACCAAACATCTCTTAGTACTGTAGCTAGTCTCTTAAAGCGATCAAATCAAAAGGCTGAGAGATATTTTAGGAATGGATCATCATGAGTCTATTTATGTCTCAAATGCTAAAATCTCATGGAATGCATTTAATGGAATAGAAATTATCTGGATTATCAGAACAGTCTAAGTTTAGATATGCAGATTGGAGTTAGAGGTTGTGCAAACATTCATCTTGTATGGCTATAGTTCGTTTATAGCTTGTGCAAACTGTGTGGCTACTGTCGCCCAGGAACGGGTGTCCAACCTAAATACTTTCGTGGTACTGGCCGAAAAGTGCTACTGCGTCTATAGCACTTACTTTGCAAAACTGTACAGAAAACTGGCGTCCAATTTGTAATGTTTACTGATTCTATTATCAGGTAGTTTTTGATTCAAAGCTGCATTTATAATTATTTTTCTGGTTTCAGGCAAGCTGTCAGGTTCAGTTGGTGACACATTAGAGCAGTTGTTTTTGCAGTGAGGTGCAGACGTTCCTCTGCATCACAGGTGAAGAGGAAATACAGCGAGAACTGGACAGAGAGCTCCTCCTAGCGCTGTCTCACTGGAAATGCTGGACAGATCTAGTATTTAGGCACATGTCCTTACAGGTTAAGTACCACCTCTACACCGAAAATGTCTGGTGGGAAAGCGGCTTTAGGGGCAGTAGAACAAGCTAAACGACAATTGCTTTCTCATATCCAGCAGACACAGAGCAACATTAGCATCCTCAGCTACTCTTAAGATGTATCTGGCTTTAGCTGCTTAATGATCCACTCTCTGTATAACATCTGGTGGTTGGCAGATAGTAAAGAGAGGGAGTTTAAAACCAAAACAATGAGCTAAATAGAGGGTGAAATACTCCGTGGGTTCATCACTACAACTGAACCCTTTCACACTGAACAAAGCCATTTGATTAATTTTGGATAGAAGAATATTTATCAGCGCAGCTTTAAATCATCACTTCACCAATTAGGGTGAGGCTGTGTGTTGTTTAATAAGAATGACTGTGCAAGCACCTGTTTGTGTTTAGACAACTTTAAACATTTGAGACGTTTTGCATTTATACTCAAAGTAAGCTGCTGAAGAAAGAATTGTTTTGTTGCTGATATTCAAACTTTGATATCTCTAAAAAAGTTCTAATTCTAAGTTCAAACTACCGCGTGATATGGGAATAATTGTAAGCGCAGCAAGCTTTACATCTGTTGCCTGACCGCTATGTTAACTCTAGCGTGGCACTGCAAGTTCTGCAACATAAGTGAGATTAGGCAGAGTAGGCTGTGGCTGAATTCACTGACGAGAATTGCGTTCGTTCGTTCTCAGCCATTCAAACAAGATTTTTTTGCAAAGTGATGACTTGTAGCTTATGGTGGATAACGCGAAGCTTGTGCTACTGTTTTGTATGAACACGTCACTTTTAAAAGAGGAAATAAATGTTTCCTTTTGCAATCGAAAAGTTAAAATCATGAACCTAAAAACACTGTTGGTCAATTCAATACACTTAGAGACTTAAGTGCTACAGCCTTACTTCATCTGGTATGACTCATAGCTTATGGTGGCTAATATCAGCTAATGCTAGCAAAATCTAAACTGATATTGCTGTATAATATTACTGATTTTAGGACTACTTGAGCTCCTGTTGCATTTTGTCTGATGTTTTAAGATCCAGACACACCAAGCAGATGTCAAAGAACTAGCAAGTGCAAAGGTCGCATAACGACGCCTGTGTCTTCGCCGAAAGGTTGAGCTTGAACACATCTCAACTAGCATGTATATTCTGCACCTGTGTGTGGAAATAACTCTCCATGCCAGCAGGTGGCGGTAGTCTGTATTCGTCATTCAAAAAGGGGAAATGTGACGAACAACAGGACGGATTTAAGACGCTAGCTAGCCAGTTAGCTCATAATCAACAAAATCCAATGTTGAAAAAACAAAGCATATTTAACGTGTGCTAGCAAATATTAACACAAACATTTGCGAGCTCGATGGTTCAAGAAATAATCTTACCTAATATAACAAGTTTGTTTCAATCTAACATTCTCTTGACTGAAGTTGTTCCTTTCCTTTTCTCACATCCGTTTCTCTGCACTGAGCTGAACTGCCAATCAGAGTGATTTTAATACCCAACAGGTTTTGTCAGATCCGATGCCAAGTCGACATTCTAAATCTGCAAAAGCAAAACAGCCGACGAAGACTGACTAGTGCCTTAATAACCGGGTTTCTTTCCAATCAATTACTTGTTAGTTCTTGTTCATCCAAACTGTGTTTTTTAAGCTATAATACATCTGCCAGGCCAGTTTTATTGGCCGATATCACAGGAAGAAATGTTGGCTGACGGAGAACCAGAGAGATTTTTCAAAATGGGAAATGTCCTGTTTGGTACTTCTCTTAGCCAGAAGTCTTTGATCGTCCAACCTAAAGGGATTCTCATTAAAAAGAAAATATTAAAAACCAAATATTGGCCAATGTATTGTTATTGTTTGTTAAACTCACAAATATCAGCCACAGAGCACAGTATCGTTCTCGCTCTAGCCTTGATAATGTTAAGATGAATTGCACAAGAAAACTCTTTGGCTACAAAACTGAGGTTTAACTCATAAGATCATTTCTACCTCAGAGAAATGTTTGCACAACTATACCTCCAATGTGCACCTCTAAAGATCCAAATGCTGCAGTTTGATTGTATCTTCACGAGACGGTACTGCAGACTTGTCCGCTTCTGGTCCACTGTCAACGGGCTCAGGGGAGCCGATCACATACCGTCTGCAGGCGTAAATATCAGACAACCACTGTACGTCATCCAAGTCTCTGTCCAGCATGCTTCCATCAACACACACACAGCTATTAATGCCATCAGTCACAGTGTGTGTGGTCCGTACAGTATCCCACCACCAGTCCGAGAAGGCAACCGTGAGGGGATGCCCACGTCTTCAACCCTATGCAGCTAGCTGTCGCCAGTCTAGTCTCAGACTGGACTCTGGAACAGAAAGGAATGATTTGTCTGGGAATGAGAAAAACCAGGAATAAATGACAGTGAATCTGTTCTGCTTTGTCAAGCTGCAGATATTTGTATGGACATACATTCCAAATTACCTGAGTATAGACTCTGATTGTGAAATACCTGAAGCGAGGCCAGATGCAGACACTGTGCAACCAATTTGAGGCCATTTTGTCATTATTTTCTCGTTGCCCAAATTATTTTCTCATTGCATTTTTTTTTTAGACAGGGTTTAACAATGTGACCTGGATAGTGTAAACATAATCCTGAATAGTACAGCTGTTTTCCTGTTAGGTACATAACACAGCAATACACAGTTTTGGATTTTTTTTTTAAACAAGCATTTTTCTTTCTTTTCATAGAGATATATGTGTATATATATGTTTAGAGAGCTTATTCATACTGTGAATGTTGAAACAGAACACAACACATAATTTAATCAGAAATATACTACCAGTTTAAAATGCATGCCCCTCCCCCCATCCATCGTGCTCCATTCTTCCCTCCGATGCCTGCATATGATAACCTTTAACCATCAGGTCCTTCCCTGCCAACAACAGCTCAGACATTATGCAGGACAGAATATTAAGGTGGCGAGTCTTTGTGGTGGCGGTGGTGTTTATTCGGGACATTGTTGCTACGTCATGCAGAGATAGAAGGGGGGTGGAGGGGGTCAGCACAGAGAGACGGAGGCTCCCCTGGCAGAGCAGAGGGAGGTGTTGGTTGGACAGTCAGTGGTGATGGTCGGTGGTCGCTAGTGTGGATCCCGGAGTCAGAGGCCAGCTCTGCTCAGGTCTAGCTGATGGCCGGGCTGTCTGTCTGGGGGTCTGCAGTCTCTGAGGGCGAGCCGGGCTCCTCCGGGGGGTCGTCTGTGCTGGTGCTCGTGGAGACCTGAGTGGGGGCTCCGTAGAGCGATGTGGCCCCCTGGGGCTCTGAGCCGGAGGCCGCCTCCGCGTTGTCCTCATCCTCCTCGGGCTCCAGGGCCGGGGTGAGGTGCAGGGAACCGGGGAGTTTGACGGGGCAGAACGCCGAGCCCGTCGGGATGAAGTTGACCTTGTTTTTGTCGGGGCAGGAGAAGAGGGGGACCGATGCTGATGTGGACTGCCTGGAGCTGCGGAGAAACATGTGCAGTGTCAGTGGGGATCAGACATTCCTGGGGTGGCAGAGAGACTTTAAATTCAGCACAAGTATCAAACAGTCTATACCTCATCTCCTCAAAAGCTTTAATCTTCTCACAGCCCTCTGGCGGCTCTCGCTTGAACATGTAACTGTTGTTGGGTTTGGGCGAGGAGGCAAACTTGGGCAGTGGTGAGCTGCTTCCACTGTCTGTGAACACAGAGATACAGGGTAGAAACTGGCCCGAGGGCAATCAGCACTGGCAGAGTGTTTTTAAGTGCTACATTTTTTAAGTCCAGCACTCGGCCGCCTCACGGAGAAGATGCGCTTTTAAATATAACAATCAAGTCTGATTCCAAATCCAAACACTGAACTCTCATCTGTTTTTTTCTTTACTTCTCTGGGGTACTTAGTGAGGAATCTCCATAGGCAGCTGACAATCTACACTTTACAATGATTAATCAGGGCCCAAACTTTCACTGTGGGCGTATAGAACTATATGAGACAGAGGGAAATGAAATAAATAAATGAGTAAAAAAAAATCTATACAGTTATTTCTGTGTATTAAATTATAGATGTGAGACTTCAGACTGCTGTCCGCTTAGCTCCTCAGGGGAACAGCTTGTTGTGAGGTCAGAGTTGCTGTGGATTTAATAGATGGACAAACAAACTCAATGAAAAGATCAAAACCATTCAAACTCAGTGTTTTAACTTCCCGAACCTGTCTGTGACACTCAGCTCCATGCCCAGTGATTCACAGTAGGGATGTCACCAACAAAGAACATTTTTGACTGGCTCCACATGTCGATCTGTTGGTTAATTTTGCTCTTCAGTTTACCAGCAACATACTGTACCACATGAAAGGTAACAAGGTATTCATGCTACACCAGTTAGCCAGCCTTAGCCGTTGAGCACTGCGCACCATTGGGGTCAGGTGGGAACTAGCTAGCAGCGCCACTCATTGCGCAATTACCCCTGTTAACGTCATCCCAACCCATGGAGGTAGGGCTATTGTTAACTATGTTATCACTGTTAGCTCTGTTAGCAGCATCAGCACGGCTAGTGGCGCTAACATATGGTAGTAAACAATGCTAAAGGTGGCTTTGCAACTCAAAATTAAGCCACTTTCTCACCTGGGCCACCTGGGTGGACACAGAAGGGTGGCCACCATGAGCCTCAACACTGTCCCATCATCATGGGTCAGGACAACGTCACCAGAAGTAACTGCCAAATGGCACCGCTAGCTAGTTCTCACCCGTCTCAGGTGGTGCGCAGTGCAGAGTGGCTACGGCAAGCTAACCAGAGGGTGGACAGTGAGCAACGTGTTTTTTGCATGTTAACACCAAACAAAGAACAAAATAAAAGAAAGACAGTTACAGAGGAGTAAATCAGGCTCTGATGCACACAATACTTGTGAGTAGGATGCATTCAGTGTTGATGTAGTCTGCACATAGGATTAACTGACAAGAAGAAAAACATATGATATCACCAGACTTTTAAATATGGAGCAATATTCTGTGCACATTAGCTGCTAGAATAAAAGGTCACAGCTACTGAAACAGCTCAACGCTGTATAAAACAAAAAAAAGTATAAAAGGAAAAAAGTAGACATCATGCCAATTCAGTCTGTTGTGCAATTTCAGGGATGCATTAACTTAAATCAGAGTTTTTAAGGATCCACCAGAAACATGTGATCATGACTGTGCCCTTCATTTCAATGCTCCAACAACAACAGTTTGATGTTCTTTACCTTTATCCCGGTCGTACAGTAGATCCTCTGTGGAGTAAGGACTGCCATCATGTGATCCTGGTGGGCAGGCAGGCGAGGGGCAGGGCGACAGGCTGGAGCAGCTGCTGGACCGGCCGGGGGCTGATGGAGTCTGGGTGTCCACGCTGCGGGTGCTGCTGCTGCGCTGCTGGGGAGGGAAGGGTGCCCGCCGCCCATCAGGAACCTCCAGGGACTGCAGAGTCCGACAACAAGAGACAGACAGCAGGGAGAGAGGACAGAATACTAATCAGAGCTGGGACGAGGTAGATCAACACACTGTGGGTTGAGAAGCATCCCTGTATGAGTTTAAATAAAACAGAGCCTCACCTTGAGCTCCTCTTTCTCTCCATTGTCTTTGATGAAGACCTTCTCCAGCTCATGGTTGATGCCCTCCATGCTGCTGGGCACCCTGGAGATGGAAGGCTTTGGCACTGTGATGTTGGACAGCGGCATCTGGGCCGACTTCGACATGGAAAACTGCTGCAGAACACACACACAGACACAGTGTTTGATTAGAGAGAGAAACTGTACTTGAGGTTTAATATCCCAGTCTGTCAGTGCGCTTAATTATGTACTGACTGACTGACTGACTTACTAGAACTGATCATGATTCAGATGGACCAAACTCTTCTACCCACATGGGTGTACTAATATGTTCTCCAGTCAGTGAATATGTGTGAATATTTTCAGCACAGCCTGACCACCTTGACATCTCTGATTTTTTTCAAGCAGTGTCCTACCTGAACTTGGCTGGCTGTGGAGGTGTGGTTTGTGGTGCTGGTGAGGGCGGTGTAGGTGATGGTGTTGCACTGCAGGGGGGACAGTCGGTCCTTGTCTTTACTGTGGCGTCCTCCTTGTTTGCTGCGCTGGAGCTGATGTCGGAGCTTCGCAATCTGCTGGAATCAAACAGGAGAGCAGGAGGAGACAGAAGAGAGACGTTAACATTTAGCAAGTAGGTGGACCTGGACGATATTGTATCCAAGTCCACACATAACTCCATAATAAAATGTTTCCTGGGCAGTTAGACTTTGTCGTGTTTGCCGTGATGTTATCACCTAAAGCCCAGTTTAGACCAAAGATTTGCGATGAGGCAAGCCGAAACACGCAACTACTTAGCAATGCGCCATTCTGCAACGTTCTACAAACCTGCCAGTTCACACCAATGCAACTAGATGAGACGGTGTATCATCTCTATGCAACAGCTCTCTGTACTTCTGTTCTGATTTCCAGCTTTTCAGACTTATTTTGTGGCTGAATATAATTTGTAGGTTCTTAAAATATGAATGAGGATAGTGATAGTGAGATACTGGCTACAGCTGCATGTGTAGAAGTGATGAAACAGTGAAAAACAGAAACAACACCAGCATCAGATGGACTGTATTCATAATAAATACGCCACAATAATATAAATAACCAGCACCAATTAATCAGTCAGTGAGAATGTGTGTGTGGCGGGGCATAAGCACATATAGCAAGCAGCAGCAGTGACCCACGGTCCAACACCAGCACGCCGTTAGGACAGAAACAAAGGGTTCGGTGGAGATGGAGCACCTGCCGCAGCAAGCAAACACGCTGTCTGCGGTCATTTTGAATTGACCAGCTGACTTCACTACAAGCTGAATGGCTGCAGAAACAGGTGACGTGTTTCATGTTCTAAAACCAGCCGCTGGTGATTTGACCAGCGGAGTTGCAGGTGACACCATCAGCCGGCTTGAGTTGAGCTCAGACCGTATGTTCTAAAACAGCTTCGTCTCGTTGGTGTGAACTGGGCAGAAGCTGAAGAGAACCAACACTACAAACGTGTAGGGCTCAGCATCTCTGAGACCTTTTCATATTTTTGTATTTGCTGAATGAGCAACACTGCTTTTTGTTTTCTTGAAAATATGACATGACAACAGAGCAAACTCCATCTGCTGATGACAAGTGATGAAGAGTGCGCAATATCTTTGAACGCTTTGGAAAAGCTAGCAAGTTGGATGAAGATTTGATTCACACAAAAAAAAACCTTGTCAAACACTAATGAATAAATCCTTAACCTAAATCTTAACAGGCATACAAGAACAGCAAACTTCTGTCTTCACTGCTGCTTAATGCATCAGATTCACAGGCTTTTTACACAGAACACAGCTTGAGATATGTTATAGCATTAAAAACACAGGTGGAACTAACAACATTAATGATGGCTCTGTTCCAGCACTTATGACATGCACTGTTATAGTTACACTTGTGTTTGACAGTGGTCCGTCCTGGTTGTCTTCCTCCTTTTTCTCCCCATGTGTCCTGTGTCTCTCTACTATCTCTCACAGCATTAGATTCTCAATAGGAAGTAAAGCTACAAAATGGAGATGCAGTTTATTGACTCAACACAAGTCCACCAGATGTCACTGTTCCCAGAGCAGCTAGTAGAAATGACAGACGACACCTGCACTGTCAGTTCTTGTTTGAACTCTGCTTCTGCCATGGATGTAGATAAAGTCATTTCACACACATTAACTTTATCTTTAAGTAAATTTTCACACTTAACTCTGGATTCTTAAACCGGTTCCTTTCTGACTTCTGGAACAATGGCAATATCTATTGAACCAGTACCAGTTTTGAGCAAAACCATAGCAATCAAGGATGCATCATTAACCGAGAACGTTGCAGCATGCACAACAGAGGTAAACAGTAATGGTGGATAGCACTGATTATCTGTGAACTGTTGTTCTTTTATTGCAGATTTTAGTTTTTATTCCCAAAAAAAAAGCACGGATTGTTAAGAAGACGTAGAAAACTACTACGAGAAAGACTCCCATCCCCCCCTTTCCTACCAGCAGAATATGACTGTTTGCACTTCAGATCAAGGAAAACCTGCTATTTTCTAGTGGGAACCAACTTTTCAAGATCTAAACCAACTTATTTTTGGTCGAGATGCTGCGAACGGTTCAAAATAACCACAACTGAGCCCGTTTCATGTTAGTGGAGTAGGGATTAAAGAGACAGGATGAAGGAACTCCCACTCCTCCACCGTACAACCAGTACTCTGGGACATGTCCATACATGTTCCCTCACACAGTTCTGACACTGTCCTTCTTTACAGAAGCAACAGAACACATGCGGTACTTATCAATGCAGGCTCTGTCTCAAACGGCTGCTACGTGATCCCTATATTTGGACCACTGAACCAGTCACACTGTGCAGTCCTGAACGTTTTTGTTTCCTCCTCAGGCTTCACTCAGGGCCATGTGCTTTTCAGGTTTTCTACAACAGACAGTGGACTGAGTCTGACATTAAATTGCAGTGAGCTGACAACAGTGTGTGCAGTCACAGCTTCATATTTTCCATAGTCAAATAAACTAATAGGTATTCAAAGGCTAAAAATTAGACAGATGATCAGAGGACTGATACAAGAATAACAGAACTATCAGAGCTTCTGACAAAACAAGGAATTTGATAACACCCCCTTTGTCTCAGAGACCTTGTGTTGGGCATTATCAGTTATCAAATAATCACTTAATTGAACAAAAATACACTGAACATAATAGTTGGTCCAGTTTAACTCATTATTCTCTGATATCACCAGGCCCTTTGGTGATACCCTGGCCCTCTCATCTTACTATATAATGACGAAAACTCTGTCTGTGTGTCTGTTCCACGTTTTTCTCCTCACTGACTTGGTCAATCCATGTGAAATTTGGCACAGTGGTAGAGGGTCATGGGAGGATGCGAATGAAGCAATATTACATCAATTGGCCAAAGGGGGGCGCTATAGCAACCGATTGAAATTGCAAACTTTGAATGGGCATATCTCATGCCCCGTATGTCGTAGAGACATGAAACTTTGCACAGAGATGCCTCTCCTCATGAGGAACAAATTTGCCTCAAGAACCCATAACTTCCAGTTATATAGATTTTCCGCCATTTTGAATTTTTTGAAAAACACTTAAAATCGATCTCTTCCTAGGAAGTTTGAGCGATATGCATGAAACTGGGTGAACATAATCTAGGGACCAATATCTAAAGTTCCCTCTTGGCAAAAGTTGGAAAACTTACTAAAACTGAGCTTCTATAAGGCAATGAATATTGCGGAGGGCGTGGCTCATCACATAAAGGTGTATAACATCTCAAGGGTTTCACCCATCACCACGCAACTTTGTAGGCATTTGACCACACATAATCTGAGGGGACCCCTCCATTATTGACCCCATCAAACAAAATGGGGGCGCTAGAGAGCTAATTTCTTATCTAGGCCTAACCGCCATATGGATTTTTACTAAACTTGGTAGATATGTAGAACAGGACGCCTCAAGGTGACTGGAGAAATTTAACTCTAATTGGCAACTGGGTGGCGCTATAACAACAGAAAAATGCTTAAAAATGGCTACAATGCGACCGATCGCTGTGGCTCCCCCTGTGGACCAATGTTGTTGTTTTATTCTAATTTTAGGTATGACTAAGTCATGGTATGGTATGCTGTACATAATCACGGAAATTGTCAGTGTGTCATTCTGTCAGTCAGTCATTCTGTCTGTTCCACGTTTTTTCTACTCACTGACGTGGTCAATCTATGTGAAACTGCACATAGGCATTGAGGATTGGCATAGGTAGAAGGTGACAAAGCAACCAATGGGTATGGACTAGTCTTTAGTTATTTTGGTATATACACTATAAGACTAACAACAGCAACAGTTTGGATCACAATCGGAACTGATGAAACCAGGAGTGGCGTCATCATGGCAGTTTTACCACTGCCTATTCCTGCTGGACTGCAGACAACCACTCACTGTCTTAAAGGTCACAAAAAGCCAGAGGTCAGAAAACCTCAACCTTACAAAACATTACTACTAAAACATTCCCATTTCATCTTGCAATAGTTTTACCACAACTTTGCCAGAGCAGCCAACTAAAACTCAGAGTTTCTTTGACCAAGACAATGTTTGCTTTGACTAAAAAAAGGACCAGCTCCAACACAGCTCCTCTCTCATACTATCATTCAGATACAGGCAGGATAAGACTGATCATTATGCGCACTAATATTCCCGCTAACATTTCTGTGGTTCTCTGAAACAGCTGCACCGCTCCGGTCTGCCCCCTCTCTCCTCTTCCTCCTTGTAGCTTGTCTATTGACATCTGTGGAATCTGTGTCAGCACCGCTCTCCTGCAGCCCTGTAACTAAGTAACGTGCCCGTGCGCACATTAGCGAGGGCTGAGCCGTCATCCGGCCGGCCCTTATTGTTCCCTCTGCTGCAGGAGGCGGAGAGGAGCCAGCTGGGACTTGGCTGACCATAAATTGCAGCGGGTTATGGCCATTGCAAAGAGGGGAAGTGGGTAGTTAAAGAATGAGATAGCGTTATCTGCCACCTCCCTGCTGCTGCTGAGTATCAGCAGGGAAGAGCTGAGAGTGGCTGATAGTGACATGCCGGGTGCAGCTTCAGAGGATGTGTCTGTTGCTGCTGTAAACCATCAGCACCATAATGACACGTACACCAAAGCTGTGATGTCACACAGGAAATTATACAGCCTGGGGAAAATGTCAATAATACAGACACATTCACTACTCTTTCATAACTTCTGCCACACGGAAACATGTTGAGAGTTTGGGGACGATCACGAATCGGCCAATATTGATCATGTGTATTGAAGCCTTCTCCTCATCATGTAGCCTTATTTAACTTTTATTTAACAATATCATATATTAACTTTTAGAGTTAAGCGAAAAATTCCAAAATGGGATGCTTCTCTGTCAAGTTCTGCAGGTAGAGACTGCCTTTGTTCTCCTGCTCCTTTCACCACACTCAGTATCTTTGCCTTGCGTCTCTCCCTCTGCGCCCTCCCTTAGACTCTCCTGTATCCCCCTCAGAGGGGTGCGCCTCTTCATTCAACCTCTTCCTTCACATAAGCAAAAGAAATAGAGTCATCCAATGTCATATCGTCGTGCAGATATCAATCTGGGTGGAGCAAACTTTTTCTTTTTGCCAAACTAAGACGGGAAATCTTCAGTGCTCCAGCACAGGTCACTGGGAGGATTTTGTGAGGCAGTTTTTCTTGCTGTAGAGGTGATGTAAATATATACGTAGGCGACATAAATAAACAGCTACATAAACACAGAATAATGAGTTCACGACTAAGGCCAACCGGCAGTCCTGTACAGGTCACTATGATACATCAAAAAATGGTGAACCACTGTGGTCCTCTAGTTTGACGGCGGTTTGTGACGGCAGACAGAGCAGTAGCAGTTTGTGCAAAGCAACCATAACCGGACTGAAACTGAAAATGTGGGCTGTTTCTTTATCAGTTTTAATTTACATTTGCAGGGCCCCATAATATCTGTGAAGCATGTGTGGGGTGGGGATAAGCTACAGAGTAAACCTGAAGCACCCAAGACAACCTGTAACCTAGTGCTGCATGTGTCTATGACTCCATGTTATGCACATGTACAGACATGTGCATCAAACAAAAGGCCTAAATATGTGTGTGTGTGTCTGTATTCATGTTAGTGTCATGCCTCTTTGAGCTGGTCGGCGCTGCTCCAGGATGCAGAGCGCTGGTGGGTGCTCCTCTTCTCTCTCCTTTCCTCACTCCAACATCCAGGAGTCTAGAAAGAACATCACAGCAACACATTACTTTACGCACACCTGGATCTGAGCTTCTTTAACAGAGTAATCACTCATTATTGAAGGATCAGTCCAATTTATTACAATTTGAATGTTATTTTTGTACTTGTGGCCATTGATCCTATAAATCATGATTAGATCGTATTGACTAAAGTCTGTCAAAGAAATTACTGAAACCACATGGGCAGACACACATGTGCATACAAACCCACAGTGAAAGCTGAGCTGGGCTCTGCATAACATTGGGTATTGTTTAAAAAAAAATTAGGATACCAATACCAACACCAGTTTCCTTAAAGTGATACTGATACCAATAGAGTACTTCATTCGACACACATAATGTGAATGGAGTGGCATGTAGAAAAGCCATACTCTCAAACATTCAGATGGCATCTTGGCTTGCATTTGTTAGCAGTAGAACTTACAATAGTGAACTGCTTCATAGTAAAGGCCTCAGTGGCCAGCCGTCAGAAGAAGCTGCCAGGTGAGCTGCTGCTAAAGTTAGCTCAGCTTGTTTTTAAAGCAACACAATGGAGTTTTTGAACCCTCAAAATATATATCCAAGATCCTTGTGATGTACATCAACTCACAATAGGTTGGATGACACGTCCGTCATTGCTTGAGAGCGTCTGTTTCACTTCCACTGGCACTATGCAGTTTCGGGGTTTGGGTAGGAACCCCGACACAAAAAGGACTACAAAATTTGTCTGCTTTACGGCATACGTCATATCCCCCTCCTCTCTTTAAAGTGGCGTAGCTGAACTGAGGTGAACAAAGTTAGAAGTGGTTGTCACGGCTGAAGCGACAAAGAAAAGGAAGAAGGTGAATGTGTTGTCCGAGGAGACAAAGAAAAGAAAAAGGAAGAGCGATAAAACAAGAGCTCAAACAAAGATTAATACTGGCCCAGCTTTCACACGCTGGCAAGAGCTGAAAGAGGAGGAGGGATGCCCGACTGATGGTGACCTGGCGCTGTTACTGCTTTTATCCTCTACAGAGGAGACTCACTGTCTGCAGGTCAGCTGCCTAGGGTATATTTTAAGATAAAGTGTTAGCCTACATACAGACAGCTTTAATTTTAGTTTGTCTTTAACACTTTGCTGTTAGCACCGCACGCACGATGTGCTTGTGTCGACCGCGATCGTGAATCATAATAGATTGAAATATGGCTTTCTACATGCTGATCACATGTATTGATAAAGTATTGGCTTGGCTGGCAGAGGTTTTATCGCACTAACTTACAGTAACAAGCGTAGTTGTCGTTAACTAGAGTAATCTTGAAGTTATATTCCCTTCATCTGCGCCGCGGCCTCTCTGCTGTTGTCTGACTTCACTCTGTTACATACAGAGCAGGTTACCGGTTAACTCAGCTTGTTCCTCCAAACTTAAAATCCTTTATCCGTTCAAAAGATGTAGTTAAAAATGACCAAAATATTTAAAAGGGATGTTGACATGTCTTGAAACCGTTAAAAAAGTAGTCCTCTGGAAGTGTTTTTTCCTGGCTAACCCTGGGTGTCATCTAATTTTCTACTTTTTTCAGTCTGTCTCTACCTGTTGGGAGCTAATGCTAGCTAGCCAGCTGTCTGCAGATATCAGATATTTGACTTTTTAATACAAACTTTCTTTATGGAATTTGTTTAGGTTAGGGGATTAGGTTAGAGTTGACACCACAGGAAGGTTGATGACTGGTGGATTATAAAACCTATCAGGCAGGAGTGTGAGGAAGAAGACATGAGTCAAACAGCAGTGTCACACATGCACACCGTCACAATGACGCCTTTGTATCACTTCAATAGTTAATAATAAAGCTAAGAGCAAAGAGGTCATCTAGCGTTTGAAGCCCCACAGATGCGTAGGTGGTAAATGTCACACAACCTGGAAGAAACAGGATGTATAGACCAGTGTGTGTGGGGACATCTGAGGTGGAACAGCGTGAGATGATCACAGGGCAGGAAGGTGTGGGCACAAAGAAAGTCAAGCATGACACAGAGCAGTACTACTGTGGCATAGGCAGGGCTCTAGACTGCAACCAACATGGTCACATATGCAACCATTTTTTGATGAGTGTAGGAGTTAAAATATCCTGTGCATCTTGCATTCATGTGAGTGCATCGTGCAGACTGAAGCCTCTACTGACAGTGACAAACAGAGAGGCAGCTGACTCATATAAACAACTAATACATCAGTACCATCCTACACACTGCCTCAACTGTCCAATTCAGGACAGCAGTGAATAAATACCTCTGCTTTCTCTTTTCTCTGTCACCAAAATGCCACATGACCTCATCTCTGTAGGGGATACACCACATGTGGGGAAAAGGGGTCAGGGAGTTGTGCTCACCTGTGTGGACTTATCTTTCATACAAGATGGGTAGTGCACATGTGGGTCACGAGGCCACTGCCCAGTGAGGTAGGGCCCAGTAATGGTGCCCAGGGAGGAAGTCCGCCAAATGGCCCCCGTGCTCCGCACCTGCTGGGATTTTGTCCTTTCAGCTGCACAGATGAAAAGACAAGACAGAGACACGTCAGCTCAGTGTAACACGACACTAGTAGCCACACAGGCCTAGCACCTTAATCTGAAGCTCTACACGGCTTTTTGCTTCCGCTCTCATTATTTTTATTTTGTGGTACATTTCAAGCAGAAAAAAAAGATCTGACAAACCCCCTGTGCTCCACTAGTTAGCCACTCACTGGTGAGCACCGTTTAACACTCTGCAAGGCCCTTCTCCTCTGGCTTCAGCACTCCGGTGGCCAACATTTGCCCTGAACCTGATAAAAATATCTCACTGACATACCAATTTCACACAGACCTCAGAAACTGGTGCAAGGTTTGTGCTTTCACTGACGGCCAAATATAGGGAAATATTGCACAAGTGTGACTTTGCTGTATCTGAACTACTCCTTTAAAACACAAAGTCACACAATAACACAAAACAAACACCCATTTTACCTCAGTTTTTTTGGATTCTTCGTTCACTGGATGCACGCGAGAAAACGTTTTCTTCACAAATTAAACGTGTTACAGGGTGAAAATAAATACACAGATTCATTGAGCTCCAACAACTGCCAAAGCCTTCCATCTAAATAAATACGAGTGCGACAGTTTCTCACAGTCAGCATCGTCCTCTGAAACATGCACTGTGGGAAACATGTTTTGTAATAACCACACTGTCATATTCTGAGGCCTGAAGAGTAATGACCACACCTTTGCGTGCTCACACATGACACCTCATCTGGCCAGTGTCCCTGTCGTAATCTGGTGTACTGGCTTCTGGTCCAACAACAGGGAATCCTATTAAACAAGGTAGAGGGCGAGGTCACTTTCTACATATCCACAGGATTACAGGTACACTCCGGGGACTAAATTAGACTTGGAAGTTATTTTCCATATATGTTAAGTAGCTCAACACGGCAGCTCCTCCTTAGGACGACTTTTCTAAACCAGTACTTCAGTGAATCTGCTATAATTATCTAACGCAGAGTGCCAGAGCTTCCACAGACATGATATTGTCTTTATTAATCAAGCATGTGATGTGTCTCATGAAGAACTGAGAATCTGAAGCTAGATATGTCTTTCTATGTATTAATGTACAGATGTGTTACATACATATATCTCAGGACTCATCGTACTGTGAGCAGGCAGTTAATTCCTTCTACCACTTCTGTCACTGAGGCAAAATCATCCCTTGTTACACAGGCTGCAGAGACACACATTTGTAGTTAAGGCACAGTGTCATAAGGGGAAATTCAAAGTTACTACATTGGTTAGGTGGTTAATAATTATAGTTAGGCTAATCATTTAAACTGCTACCCTCACTGAGATCAGGATCTCTCTTCAACAGAGAGCTGTGTGCAAAATAATAAATATATAATTCAACTGAATAACTGCATGAAAAGCCAGCCTTTTTGTGAAGTGGCAGATATTATTATTTATTCAGTAAATAAAAGAGGGCCCAAAATAGACCTTTGCGGGACACCTTTATTACCATTAAGCACACATGATTTGGTATCACTGGAAGCACCAGCTTCAATGATTCAATAAAATCTCAAGGTAACAATATCAAAGTATTCTGATAGGTGGTGCAGCAGTGTTCATGTTTGACCAATGTGCTGTAACATGGTGTAAACCCAAGCAGAAACTTCAAGGGCAGAAAAATGAAGTCAATGCTTAAGTGCCAAAAACAGCCGTGCCTCAAATGGCCATTTGATCTGGCTCCAAAAGCAAGTCAATCCTCACAGACCCCCATGCTAAAATGCCCAACTTTACAGCAGAAATAAACACGTTCAGCCTGGTACAAAAAATGGTTTTGGTTTCTATGGTTACTTTCCCCATTCAGCACAACTGTATATGTATGAGATGAATATAACCCCATATTTTAAAATGAATAAAAAGCTTTGAAAGGTTGAAACAGTGTTATGTTTTGATAGGCTGAACTAAAAAAAAAAAAATCCTTCTTCATGACTGCATTTCTTTTTTACAGTGTTTTGCTATCACATATTTAAGAGTTAAAACCTTGTAAATGGTGACCTAACAACTTGTAGGCATATGTTGGGAAATAGCTTTTACGCGAGCTTTGAAAGGACAATCCTCTATGTTTAACAAAAATATGGAGGTGTATATTTGCACTGATATGATGATTTGTGCTTCTTGGCCCATCACACTTAATTTTAACAATGGCACCATGCTCCCAAATCTAAGCAATTATCTTGATACAATTATCAGTGTTAGCACTAACAGCCTAAACTGTGAAAACCAGACCTGTGTTACAATAAACCAGAACAAACCTTTAATTCAAAAAACCAATGAAGGTATTTTTCAAACACTATCTGATAAACCAGCCACATCTTTATTGTTGGACTTTCATGCACAGTAAGCAGTAAGAAAAATGCAAAACTATGACTACACAGCCCGTCAGCATTTTGTTGGTTAAATAATGTCAACAGCACAAACCAAATATGGACATCTGAAAACTAATCCTGTGGCAAATCAAACTGTTTTTTAAGATTTCATGGCTCAGATAAAAAGCCCAAACTAAAAAAAGGCCTACTCTACTACTTCCTGTCATCTGATGAGTGTTTACATGACCCCAGTGTGCATGAGAGCTTCAGTATGCAGCTATCATCACACCACTGAAGAAAAACAGACACTCTTGAGGTGTTGTTCTATGCACTGTATTTCCTCAGGGATTTTAACGATTTTTGGAATAAAAATTTTAAGTTCCAGCACTTTAACTTTTGATGCTTCTACAATTCCACAGTGTTGACTGAAATAGCATGTGACAGCGTGTAATTATACACCTCCAGTCACCATTTGAATACAGTTTTTTTGCTCAGTTTTCATTGATTTTTTCCATTGCTTCATTTATGTTTCGGCATAGTCAAATGGCTGGTAAACTGAAAGATATTACTGGCCAGCAGGACTTAACCGACTGTAATTTTATTACATTCAAAGCTTCTGTTTGGGTTTTCCAATGACGGTTCAAATTTCTCACATTTTTGATCATGTCACTGCCCTGAAAAACATTAACAAAAATAAAACATCTCTACTGCCGATATCTCCAACACTGCAACTGCAATGACCTAGACTGATAGAAAGCACTACCAATGACGTAAAAAATTATTTTTAACTAAGGATGAACTGTCCCTTTAAAAAGTTATGTAGGAATATTATTGGTAAACACAGCTCCAGCTTTATGGGAGTAAATGGTAAATGAGCTACAGCTGCCTCTGGAGTTGGCTGTCTTTATACTAAATGCTGAAGCAGGAAGTATTTTCAAGATTTTGTAAGATGAGGACAAAAACTTGAGTTCTGCTTTGACATCACATTGTGATGTGTAGTCTGCTATAACCCTGCAGTAACATCTGTGGTCAGAGGTCGCACCGAGGTCAGAACTAAACAAGCACAAGGACAAATTCCTGACCCAGTGGTCAAGTAGCAATCCATCGACGCCCTGCCCTTGAACCAACCGTTTTAAAACACAAAAACACAGACAAAGTTTTTAAAGATTTCTGTCAAAATATATACTCTTTGTATGGTGTAGTCCACCAACTCCATGTGCGTGACAAAGCAGTTTATTAAATGTACACTGCACATAACATAAATGGAACACTTTTCATTTTGCTCCCATTTTCACAAGTTTAAAAGTACATAACAACAGTGGTTATGTCATGAGGTTTGCGATTTGCGCTGGCTCTGTGGGCAGAGTAGACCCACCGTAGACCTTAGCAGCCTGTTTTGTGAACCAGTTCAGGATGTGGAGGTGTTTTCATAATGAAGATGACACGCTATTGGTGTCAGTAGTAGACATGTTGAGGCCAAGGCATTGCTTCTCACTCAGTCAAAGCTGTGGCTCACGCTATATCAATTGGAACGAATACACAGGTGCATGTCCCCTTAACATAGACCAGTGGTTCTCAAATGGTGTGCCGTGGCACAGGTGTGCTGTGGGATTTTGTGATAACCACACATTACAATTGCAATATTCAACTGAGCCTGTGCAAAACATTATCAATCAATCTTTAATTGACTGTATCAGTATGTTGGGTGCTCCATTGTCTAATAAAGGGGCAAACTCTAGCTAAAATTGTGATTCAATTTAAAAAACCTTCACGGGGAACCTATTTGTCACCGTTCATGCGTAGATATTATAAGTGTGTGACGCATCTAAAGCCCCGATTGGCAGCCAAAAGGAGAAAGCCATGAGTGGGACAATGGATTGCTTTATTGTACAGAGTAATGTGAAAGCTACCTGCACAGATATAAATACAGGTGAGATTTTGGCTTGCCCTTTGGTGTACCTTGGGCACAAAAATTTGAAAACCACTGCCATAGACTAATCAAGCAATGGATGTATAAAGAGAACTGGATACAGCGTGGAGGTGAGGCCCCTTTCATTCCTATGAAAGCTGCTCAGTGGCGCATGAAGCCAAAAAAGTTTCACACGTATAAAATTACCAGCACCGTTCGCAGTCTTGGAGCAAGCACACTAGAAACTTTCGCAACCCAAGCGGCTAACTTCAGGTATGAATGGGGACAAAATGATTTAATGGAGCTGCTCTACTAGACTTTCAAAATGTTATCAGACTAAATTGATCAAATTCTGATGAAGCGAGTTATCGTGTGGGGGTTGTGATGCTCAAAAATGTATCCACTGATTTACAGATGTCTGTTTCACAGTCAGTACGTTTACATGGACAGTTTAATTCCACTTTCATTCGGAATGAAAGGCCATTCGGATTAAAAGTGTTCATGTAAACGGTCATTCCGATTGAAAATTAAATCCAATTCAAGGGGGTGGTTTATTCCGTTTGTCATTCCGGATGAAAGAATTTTGTGTGCATGTAAACGCTCATTCCTCTTTAAGGGAGCAATCACATTGAGATGAAACGCTAGAAACGCAACATCAGTAAAACCATTGTTTTCCTATGATACGGCACGTATCGGCGCGTTCAAGCGTCTTTTTAGACGAGTTTTTTTCCGGCGTCTTTTTAGA